ATGATTCCTCTGTGTTGACCCTCCTCTTTGTAGACTGGACACTGGTTCATGTCCATCCAGTGGGGTCTCCTTGGCTTCCTTGATCAAGAGGACAGGTGACCCACCACAATTACAGGACATTTTGAGAGATGCTCATAGTCCCCTGGAACTAATCGATCTAGGAAGGCTAGGAGCAAAAACTGTCCTTTATGTCCCTCTGAGCAAATTGTTATGGGCCTCAAAGTATGCTTGTTAAAAATCCAAGAAGGTTAGTTCTACCAGTCTGCTGCTTTTAGTTACTGTGTCATGTAGATAAATCTTGGGCAAAGACCAGTTCTCAGATAAACCTTACCTAGACATATATTTCTTGATCTGCTATGTATAATTTGTCAGTAGGTTGTAGGAGTAACATGGTTCCCTCTGGTTTTCAAAACTGGTTAGGCATTATTTACTCTCTCATTGTCTTACCCCTCCTTCATAGTTTTCCCACTTAAGGTGCCCCCATTTCCCCCTTTCTCCCTTAATAATACCCTTCTCCTATGATCCTACCTCTCTTGAGCTCCTTCTTTCCCTTTATCCCCTAGGTTCCTTGTATACCCTTCCCTCCCACCTCCCTTACTAACCCAATTTTTATCCATATCTCCCTTATTAAGACCTGTTTCCTACTGTTCTTCTCTTTCATATTCTTTTTATTCCTTTACCTCCCTGTTTCCTTTCCATTATCCTGGTTCCTGTAGTTATGTCTGGATACATACTCACTTATCAGGGTTTGGTTCTAAGAGCCACATATGTAGGAGAACATATGTCAATTTTTTTTCTGAGTCTGTGTTACTTCACTTAGTGTAAGAGTTTCTAGTTCCATCCATTTACCTGCAGATTTCATGATTTCATCTTTCTTTACTGCTGAGTAAAATTCCATCGTATATATGAACCACATTTTCATTATCCACTCGTCAATTGAGGGACACTTAGGTTGCTTCCATCTCTTAGCTATTGTGAAAAGAGCAGCAACAAACATGGATGTACAAGTGTCTCTGCAATAGGATGAGTTCTTTGGGTATAGATCCACCAGAAGGGCAAGTAGTGGGGAATGGCTGAGGGGATGACAACACAGCAGACAGTAACAGGGATATCAGAGTATAAGGGCTCTAGTGGGGGGAGGGAGGCTATAGGAGGGTGCCATCTGGGAAGTGGGTGTATAGTTGAATAAGATGGTTTTGGATGTTCTGTGTGATACACACACGCACAGAAAAAAAAATCAAATTAAAAATGTATTATATTTGAGGAGGAAACATGGAAATTTATGTCATGCTAATAAGTAGAGGTGATAAACATTATCACTGAAATCTACCCGATGACTTTATAGACATACACAGGCACCAAGGATCCAAGTGCAACCGATTATGACTAGTAATAATCAGATACATACAACCCTGTAATCATTTCTTTATTCAGCAAATGCTAACAAGTCTCTTGTTTAGGAGACTCGGGTCAAAGACCTATATATTTGAGTTCCCCTGCATGCTAGGCACAATTCCAAGTCTTATTTACATTGTGTCATTTAGCTTAGCACCATGAAAGAAGCGCATATTGACCTAACTGCCGAGATGTTAGAACTCAGGACTAAGAGGCCAGCTCATGTCACCAAGCTGATGAGCAGCAGGACCCATGTTCAGACACAGGACTCCAGCTCCTAAGCTGATATCCCTTCTTCTCTACCACCAGCTGTCTCTGCTAGCACACCCCAGTAGGATGGAGAGTGATGTGCAGTGATATCACAAGGGGTGAGGAAAATTAGGGTATCTGAGAGTGACTCAGCATCTCCGCGATTCCATCCTTGTTGTTTCTTCACCATGCTAGAGGGAGACTGTGTGTCTCAGCTCCTGGATGCTGCAGGGCTGCTGAGCTGAGAGGCAGCAGTAAGGAACAGCCAGACGGCCTCTTCCTGCCTTCAAGAACTCAAGCT